CGCTGCCGGGGCGGTCGTGCCCGAGGGCGCGCACGGGGCCCGGGCTGTAGTGCCGCCGCCGCGCGGCTCCGGGCGTGCGCCCAGCCCGGCGGGAAAGGGGCGGTGCCGGCCGGGAAGCGTACTGGGAAATGTAGTTCTGCTCCGGGAGAACCGGCGGCCGCGCTCCCTTCCCGYCGGCAGGAGCTGCGGGGCTGGCTCGGGGCTCCTGGCCCTGTCCGCTCTCCGCCGACCGCCGGCCGAGGCTGCCCAGCGCCTTCGTGAGGGCTGCTGAAGAAGGCGGCCGAGGGCTGGAGCAGGGAAGAGCCCAGSGGCTTGCGGCACAACCCCATCCCCATCCCAAAAGTGCTGCCCSGTCACTGCTTCAACTAACACTCTCCCTACTGCTGCTCTAGTCTCGGAGCAGAAGAAATTGGGAGATTTGCAGTGTCATTGCCGGGTGGAGAGCAAGACTGGTTAGAGCAGTTGGAGAATTTTGTCCTGTCTGAACATGTTCTGGCACCAAATTATTTAAGAAGGAAGCCTCTGGGAAACGGGCCCACTGAAGAGGCAGTTTTTYTGTCTGTTTTTTTAGACCTGACATTTATGACATTGTGTAGCATCAAATGCTATTTGCAAATAGAGAAGAGGGAATTTCCTGCAGCTGGCATACACCAGAGCCCCAGGTATGAGGGCAATAGCTAACATTTTACAGGTGATCTAAATGCATCTGTAATAAATACATGGGTCTGAGCATGTTTTGCAAAGGCTGAAATCCATGGCATTTGAACTAGTTCACTGCTGGCACTGTGCTACTCAGTTTTCCTTCCGCAGCCTAATACAACCATTCAGCAGGTACTAAAGGTATTGGTAATGCCATAAAACCCTTAGAGAAATCTTCCTCTTTCTTTTCAAGGAGATGGAGCATATCTTCTACATAATAATAAAATGGTCACATACCACTGAACATATAAAAAGTGTACAGATAATTAAAAAAAAAAGGGGAAAAACCCCAAATTCCTGTCTTTAGAATTTACGGGCAAGTTTAACCTTATGTAACTTCACGTTAGATTGTCATCCACAAGGACAGAGCATTTCTTGCAGGATGGAGACGTTAAAAAGCGGAAATTATCCTGAACACAATTGTCTTTAACTTGTAAAGCAGGAATCCACCTATTCAGAACCTAACTTTTAAATGCAGAACACCAGAAAGACAATGAATAGATGAGACGTATCCCTGTCAAATACCAAGGGTGAAAGGTAGGTGTTTTTCTACACACTTCCTGTGACTATGTTGCATCCTGAAACTGTAGGTGAGGCTGAGCCCAAGCCAGTTTTCTGAGGTTTTTGCACTGCAGTCCTGACTTGTCCCTGCAAAGTCTTTCCTGCCAGTTACACAGAAGTTCATACTTGTAAAGGTTCCTCTGAGCTCCTGCATCTTCTCATTTTCCTTCACTGAGTAGATCACGTGCAGGTTCAACAAAGTGCTTTAATTTTATGCAGTGAAAGCACTTACAAACCCACAGGCACTTTGTTTGATCCCGGTGGTGATAAGGCACTACAAGCAATTGTCCATATGAGAAGCTTTTGTTGAACCTTAAACTGATAATGTCACTCACAGCCCTTTGATCACAAAGATCTCCCTCCTGGCAGGGTGCTGAAATATGTAACAACAATGCATCACACCTGAACTTTTTAGTTCAGAAGCAYGCCAAACTCTAATGGCTCATTACAATACCTTAATTGCATTAAACTTCAATTAGCAAGTGTCAATTAAGATTTACACAGGGGGAGAGCAGAGTGTTCCAATCCCTCTGTTAGCCAAACAGAGAYCAGCAAATCAGATCATCATAGGCACATCCTTATTACTTTGATTTTTCTTAACAGACTCAGTCAGCTGTGTTCTTCAGGAATAGAAATTAATGCCACCTCTTTGACTTGAGTGAAGCTATAAATATTGATTTACATAAGCCAAGGATCTGGTCTCTGCTGTATAAAACTTTTACAATTAGGCTTTTTACTATCCATTATAAACAACTAAACATATTAGAAAGGGAAAAAAAAAACCCAACAAGGCAATAAAAAAAATTCTAACTTAGGTATTACCACAAAAGGAACACTTAAGAACAGGGACATGACCCATAAACATCATTAAACAATCTCTCAATCTCATTGACAGCTGAGGGAAGATGTGTGATCTTGACAAGACACACCCTGACCTCTAAAGCTTAATTCCACAACAGATTTCAAACAGTGTTTTAACAACTGGTTTCATCTAAGATTTGAAATGGCAAGAGATTTTAGATTAGATGCCCATTTAGGTATAAATTGCACTAATACATTGTGGTTTAGGCGTTTTTATGGGCGTAGATAAGTAGCACACCTCAGGCTCCTATACTGCCAGAAATTCTACATAGGTCTCTTTGGTACTCTGGTAATTCTTCAAGGGTGAAGAGGGCTGCAAAAGAGTGCTTTTGCACCCAAAAGTACATGTGGTAAGTACTGACAGTCTTTGGTGCTCTTCTATGTAGCAGAAAGTATAAAATCAGMTATTAATTCGTACAAGTGCACCAGCACCCCTGCTTCTGCACTAGCACCCATGATTTAATGCTCTGAACTGATGCCTTTTGAGTCCTGTTCAAGAGGTCAACGACAGCCCTAGCTGTTTATTCACTCAATGTGCAGTCAACACAGACCAAAAGTTCCAAGCTGTCTTATACTTGATACCAAAATACTGCGCACTGAGGCAGCCACAAAGCAGAGGAGAGAGACAATGCCAGCAACTACAATTTAATCATTATTTACACCCAAAATAACCACATGGAGCTATGAAATAAGTCAGGAACAAAGCCACAAGGTGTCAGCACTGGCCTGYGTATTTAGCATATAACTCTATCCCTGCATGAGAGACTTTATTTGTTTTAACCTGTGTCACTGAACATTAGTGAACATTCAGTTGAGTATATCCCACTTCATTAATTCACCTCAGTTTAATGACAAAGTAATACCAGCTTCAGATCAATGAAAAATACTCAGTGTAAACTRCTGTAGTTTCATTAGTAGTAGAACGAAAGAAAAAGAATTGTATCTTTAAAATTAATGATTCTAAGATGTAAACTTTGCATCTTTAGGTCACCTGAATATACCTTTGTATTTGGGGTTAAAGAAAAAAATTAGTCTCTTATGCAGCTCAATTGCTAAGATGAGAAGGCTCCAAATTAAATGTAATTTAYAAAATATTGKYRAAAATAAAATTAAAACCAATCCTTGGGAATACCATGYCTGATTGTACCCAGTTATTATGGCAATGCCTGACTTTATTGCAGAAACAAMTTTGTTCAAAATCTCAGTTAAAGTATACAAAATTATCAACAGAGCTACACTTGAATGATACACACAGAAGACTGGGAATCTTGTTCAGTTAACAAAGGGAATGAAATGCATGATTATGAGGCTGAGCAGTCAATAAAACCAACACAAAAAATGTTCAGTCTTTAGAAAGAACATGCAAAACAATACTAGTGAGACCTGTGGATGGACAAAATCCAGAGCACTATCTTGCAGGATTATGCCACATGATAGATGTGTGCTGTTGGGTATACAGAGATCTGAGTAAAAGGAGAATGTTTTGGATTCACCAGGTTTGTGACAAATTCCTCACCAATCCATCAGCAGTCACGTACTRGAAGATAAACAGACTATAATTTAAATCTATTTGGTACATGTAATGMCTCTACTATCATGATGGCTTGGACAGTGCACAAATAGCTGACACACAGAAGATCCATCCTTTCTTGCAGCCCACAGCTATGGGCTTGCAGTACTGCAAACACAGCAAACAGATCACACAGTGAAAAAGCAACACATTTCTTGTTGCCCTGAACCAACTCTTCTCAGTTCTTAGTAAGCAGCTAAAACACCTGCTCAAACCTGAGAGACCTCAGAAATCGAAACATTCCTGTTTGAGAGACTTCTACARCTGCTTTTGCTTGCTGAGTACCAAGGCATTTCCTCCTCTCTGTTGTCAATCTAATAAAATTTCATTTTCTTCTTTTCTGCAAAAGCCTGTTCTGGCTGCTTCAGGAGCCACTTTGGCCAAGGAACAGGGCAGAGATGGCAGTACATAAAGAAYATCTAAATTTGTAATATTGCAACTTGACCATATTTGTATCAAATAGGTTACAAAACATGGAACTAGAGGTCACCTCAGTAATCTTTAAATTCTACATGCTTATAGCAARTGACAATTGGGTTAATACTTTGCTAAAATAGAGATGATCACATTAACTTGCAGCTTCGCTGTGATTCACATGGTGAAAGAAAAAGGTCTTCTTACATCTGTTAATTTGCTACTGTGACCAGCTTCACTGACTTAAATGGAATTAGTCAGGCTAATAAATTCAAGCCCATGGCACAGGAATGAATTATTCATTATTATTAACAAAGGCAGCAGCAGAGACTTTTCCCCCTTTATAAATGCCATACAACACATTTTCTTAGACTAAAAAGGCATTTATTGCAACATTTTTATAAATATTATTGTCTGTCACTGTCAAATAGCTAACAAGGCTCACTTGAACACCAACATTTAGTATAAAACAGATGTTACAAAGCAATACTTTAGGGCATGCACTGATTGTAAAGTAGTCCCATAGGTCACTGTAATTTCATTATCTATTCACCCAGTGTTATTTTTGCTGAAAAGACTAAAGCATAAATACAAAAAAGTTTGGCAAATTCTTCTGGACTACAAAACCTCCATTCTGCACTCTTACCCAAYCAAAAGCTCATTGACTTCACATGGCTGCTGGGTACTGGCATACAGAATGAAGCCTGGCATAAAGAATGCAGAACAACACTTAACACTATAGTTACAAGTTGCTTATTTGTATCTTTTATCTGTATATTAATCTTGAGAATGCTGAACGAAGTCAAAAGGTACAGATGACATTTCAGGTTCAACCATTACACTTCAAGTAACAAGTGGCAAGAGTTCATAGCGTTATGACAGCCTGCATATTTGCAAGGAGGTTAAAGCAAACCAAACCTCAAGATACGTAAATCAGAAATTCTAAGACATACTAGGCATCTGTTTTAACCTAAACAGAACTTAATATGCTAATAAAATATATCTGCCTAAATAAAAGCTGGGGACATCACACACAAATGTCAAGGTCCCATAATTTCATTTTTCTAATGAGTTAATTGGTTTGGAATTTCATCTTTGAATCTCTGTGTCAAGACTTGAATAAYAATTACAGCTCTAAAATAATCTATTGTGGTATTTTTTTCATATTTTAATATTTATCATTTAATGAAAATCACCAAAGGTAAAAAATTGAAAACCCATTGCTGTATATGTGAGCAGTCAAGTATTTCAGAAGCAGTCACCATATTCTGGAGTTAAATAACAAGTTTTGTTTTTCTCTTAGGTTGAACTGTGGMATCTGTGCTTTGCTCCCTATTACCCTAATATTCTATATGACAACATTCTTTTGACTTACTTACTCAACCTTGTTTCAGCTTGTTTGGGAAAAAAAGCAAAAATAACACTGTAATAAATTCTAAGACTGTGAGGCTAATTTTTTATACTGAAGAAAGGGAAAGGTGTGTGTATAAGAACTGCAAACACAGTCCCCACAAATGTAATATCTCAGGTTTATATATATTATYCTAGATCTTTCCATCTCACCAAAATCAACTAGGAGTCAGGGATAACATAAGGTTCTGTGTTTTGTCTTGTCTCCAGAGCAGAATTTAGCCTTTTGCTTTTAGACCCTCTTGTGTAATCTTGTATAATTCTCAGACTTTACATGCACACTCAAATACCTTCAGCCAAATCACATTATCTAAATATTAATTCTGTGAAAAATATTTTCCATTAATCTAATTTTTACAGATCCCTGTTGGGAAAAATCAGCAGGAATATTTTTATTCCTTGGCACAAAACCTAAGTGAATTTTTCATTTRTTTAGTCTTCTACCAATACCACCTAAGGAAATTGAACTGACTGACATCAAAACTAAGAGAGAGATATGAAGCTAAATCACTAGATGCCATAAAATGTTCACTTCCCTGAGTAAGCATTGGAGTCATAAAAGATTTGCAGCTACTCAGCACTTCTGAAAAATCCAATTACTTCTTTAAAAATGCAAATATGAATTTAAGAAGAATTTAGAAACAACTCAGAAAAGTACTGGTAATTCTGTAATGCTCTGGCCTATAAAGAATACAACACCTTTACAAAAAATTTCTCAAGAATGCCACAGGAAAGTTTATCTTGTAAGAACATTGCTAAATAGCCTCRAGTTGCAGATCAGAACATGTGGATGCAGCAGCTGTTCTAATCTAGGCTGTGAAGTCCTGCTCTTATTCCAACCTCATATTGGCTGGGAAGAACATCCCTACTCAGACAAGAAACACAGAAAGAGGGCAAAAGCAACAGTTGTGAATGACTACGGAACCGTGTYGGGGGAGTTCAGATGGGAACTTAGGAAAAGGCTCTCCTCTGAGAGGGTGGCCAGTCACTGGAACAGGCTCCACAGGGAAGCAGTCATGGCACCAAGCCTGTCAGAGYTCAGGGAGCATCATTCAGGGATGATGTTCTTAGTTATATGGGTTAGTTTTAGGCAGCCCYGTGTTGGACTCTGAGATCCTTATGGGTCCTTTCCAACCTGAGATATGGATTGTAAGTCTAYGAGTGCTATTCAAAATACTTAGTAATCCAAGCAAAAAAAATCTGCACCTTTCATTACAGTAGATTCATTGCTACTGCCAAGTCATAACACAGATTTTCTAAGCTAGTAATATCTTTTAAGTCTGCATTTTCACACCTATCAACTCCACAAGCTGCACACATCCTCCCTGACATTTCAAAATTGCACTGCTTTTGCCTCACTATCTGAGCCCAAATTAGGTAAGTTAAATAACCATGTTTAAGCATATATAACTTTATCAAACCTACTGTGAAAAGAGAAAAAAGAAAGTTACCAATAAAAAATGTTTAGAAAAGGAAGGTTTACCTAGATCTTACTCTGTATCTGCAAAAATCAGATACCTYGACTACAAATTGCATATAAATAACTAGACAAGAAAAAAAAAGTAAAAACTGCCATATGATTAAAAAAAAATTTCTTTTTTATTAAGTTTTACACACAGGGACTTGACATTTTTAGTAAAATCTTCCAGTTACACCTATATCTAACCTATGCAGGTTGAGGGAGAGCTGCCCAAATACACTGCTACAGAAATATGATAATGAAATTTTAATTAGAAGAGCTAATGTACAAAGGCTGGTAAGATAAGATTTAGATCCCTCACTGACTGAACAGGTACTCCCTGCTGCAGCCGAGTGCCACTATTGCCTCTGGGGTCTTGATGGGTTTTCGTACCTCAGAAGGCCAGACCAAGCCTCCAGCTCTTACCTCGGAGCTTGACAGCAGAGGATATCTTGTGGCATGGTCTGACCTGATGCCACAACAGCCCTTGAACATCTGGGACCTGCCTAAAAGCCAAAATCTCATTCAAGTCACACTCCATTCCTTCCCATCACAAGAAGCAACATTTGCTTGGATAGAATGCCAGACAGGTGCTGCCACATGTGAACTTCCACAAAATTAGAAACTATGCCAAAACCATTAGCCCTTCCTTGTAATTCTTCCTTCCCAGCAGTCTCTCCATTCTTCTGTTCCAAACTGTTTGGAGTCACTGATGCCTTACTGTGTAGCACTGAAGCAAACTGCTTTGCTAGTTTCATTACATGCTGAGGAKTCAGGGTTGAAAGGGATCGCACTAATCCATGTAAGCTATGCACATCCACAGCTCCATGATGCACTCAAACACGGTAATATTTAAATGTATTTCTGATTATATCATAAATYTAAGGATCTACAGAGTCGTATTTTGTATAAAACACTAACACAATAGCTACCTTTGAAAATAACTGATATTAGACCTTTTGTAATTCTCTGAAATATGTGTTCCTTCCTGCAAAGCTATTACCAAATATTTCACTTTGTGGAAATTATTTGGAGATGTTAAGACAAGAGGAGGGTGAGGGGAAGTGCACCTGCAACACAACAGTGTGGCAAACCAGTGAAACCATAAAGTCACAAAATGCCATTTAATTTCTATTAAAGTTTCATAATTTGCATATAAACTCTAACCCTGCCTCTAAAGTACTGGAGGGTGCAAAAATCCAATGGACCCAGAAAAGACCTGAAAGAGCAGACAGAGGGTTTTTTTCTCTAAAACAAGAATAATTTTCTTTTTTGTAAATGTCTGATACATAGGAGGGATGAGGAAGTAAGGAGAAGACTAAAAAAAAAAAAGAAACCCACGTTTCCCCTTAAACTTATAGCAGTTATATTAGTTATAGCAGTTATATTAGTTATAGCAGCTAAGAAATTAGTTATTATATAACTGAGAAATAACTGAGTAGATATTTAGTACATGAAGGCAGCTGCTGAGCTATTTTTTTGGTTCAGACCCAGGATTTGGTGCCTAAAGTGAGCTTCTTGACCACTGCCTGGATGGCATGCTGATGTACACCACACTCCAGTCATTCTCTAATCCCTGTGTTAAAGATTGGGAAAGTCAGTGCCATACACAGCTTTAACCCCAAAACAGGGGTTTCTTCAGATTAGAGAGACCACAGGTTTATTTTCTTCCTATCCAAGCATTGCAAAACTAGTCCAGAAAGACAAGAAGGCCACAAAGGCAGTCCAAACTTTTCTCATTAATTATGTTCTCTTTCAAAACCAGAATATTTCCCTTATAATAAAAGAAGACAGGATCATCCTGTATCCAATGGCATTATTAAATCAGCTAGGTGCTTTTTTTAGGAGGGAAGTCAAGTAGCATCTCMCTTATACCTAAAAATACACASTTATTTGATRCCAGMAAAGGAAAAAAAAATCTTTCTAATTAATAGCCATAGTTACATTTCCAAACAACACCATAATCTACATACACTCTCTCTAAACTCTATGCCTCTGTATTAAGTTACTGTGCAACAAGCAATTATTAAAATTAGAGCACCTTGGAAATGTTCTTTAACAGTTGTTTGGTAGCAATCACAGTAAAAAAACCAAAAAAATATTTGTAGAGGGAAATATCTGCCTCTTTTTTCCAAAGCAGGCCTTTTTTTCTAGCTTTCATTGGTACCAGTCATTTAGAAAAAAAATTATAAAATAAAGAATATTTGAAGTGCTGTAATCATTTTAAAAGTTATTCTGAAGTGTTGTTACTTTATAGCAACTTTGTATAACAAAGATAAATCTTGCTTTTCAGTATTAAAAATAAAAAAAGACGAAATATGTGAAAACCAAAATACCTTCCATGACAAGTTACTATGCCCGGTCAAATGCTGACTTACCAAGTGTCTTATAAACTTACATACCACACTTCCTTCATAACCTTTTTCTCCTCAGATTCCATCCCAACTAGCAATTTACATATACTCATTATCTTCTTTGTTAACTTGAATTCCATACTCCTGATTTTCCCACTGTGAAAGGTAACTCTTAAATAAACTCAGTGCTAAACTCAACCATCCATTTAAATGCCAGGTAATAAATTGTTTTGCTGCTTCCTGTGGCTTTTTATTTCCTCCCTTTTGAGCAGAAACACTTTATTAGGCTAATTAAGTACTGTGAAGCTTAGGTGAAAGTTTTTTTAAAAGTGCACATTTCTGCTAATACTTCAACAAGAGCAAAATACATCAAAAACACAGCACACTAACAAATAATCTGAAAAAGGAATAAAACATAATATAATATACTTTGCTCTTGCTGTAAATCCTGAACCTTTAACACATCTGACTCCATACATGTAAAAAGCAGATCAACAGCTGTTACACCATTTTACCTTGGTAGTAAATCTATAACATACCTGTGTGCTCAGGTCCAACCAGACTATCCTAAATCCAGAACTCTGTTAAAGAAGAGGAGCCAAACTCGGTTTCTATCCCAGTTCAGTACCTTTAAATTGGTAAATTAGCCCTTTAGGGGGTAATCAGCTAAGGCTGAAACAGTAAACACCAAGCCATAAACTAAAGTGACCCTCAGGCTCTGAGAAAGAACTGCAGTTTCTCAGCTGCCTACAAATTAGCACAAAGGAGAAATAATTTACCTTAATGATTTCTTCACTTCACCTGTTTGCTGAATGTAAAGCTCATTATCCAGGCTTCTGCTTATCTGCTCCAGAAAATCTTAAGGCTAAATGACACAGCTGTTSTGAGCCAAAGCAGACACTATTAGGTGGTCTCCACCATAAACTTACTCATCAGGTGATGAGTAARTTAACCAACCTGAGAGAAGTAATTTATACTAAGTAAAGCTACTGTATGCACTTTTAAAGTTCACTTCGTTCTGAATTTCTCTTCCCTCTCCTGAACTCTAGTCCAGTAATTTGAAATGAACTAATCGTTAAAGACATCAATGAAAATACAAAATATTAATAAATCTTTCTTTTGAAATAGGGATAAAGTGTTTGTTATGAAGATAAGCTCATCTTCAATCTAATTCATATACCTTAAGCATAGGTTTGTAGAATTCTGTGCCTAATAACTTAGTCTACAAACATCAGTATGTAAATAATGATGCAAACCCAGCCAGGCTAATTAGTCATTTTATACTCCATGCAGCAATGAGAATAGAAAGGAGTTGCATTACACATACTTTACCAAATTCCGTGTTAGTGAGTCCCCAAGTGTACCACATTACATAAAACTTTGGCACTATTTAGGTTTTAATTCTACTTAAGTAGAATTTTAGTGTAAGTTGAAAAGTGAATGAGTAATCTTACCTAAGCACACTTGACTGCTACATGTACACATCATTCACATCCCATTACGTGAAGAACAGAAATTCTCCATTTGAAGTTTTTATAATATTCTGTGGATCATAAATGCATTTTGACACTTTTTGTCCCCATAATATTTCACATTCCTCTTCTACTACTTATTGGTGATAAAAAAAGTTTAGTATATTTCCTTTTTAGCTTATCTTTTTCCATAATAAATATATTTTAGCARTAGTTTGATGAACAAAAGATACTGTTCTTCTTATTAATCCCTGTCTTTCCTTACAAATAATGTCATTTATATTTCTATGTCTTTGTAAGATAACACCAGCTGCCCATAGTCACCTTTAACAAGAACAGGATATAATGGCACACAACACAGAACAAGAGATTACTTCATACTACTGCACAATTACTTAAAAATATATTTACATGTCAGCAAAATTACTGTTTTTTTCATAGAAAGAGAAAAATTGATTTAGTCTACTAGGAGGACATCCTATGGCTTGTTGGRAACTTCTGTATTCTTCATGTTTTATACCTGGTTTTCCTATGTATGGAGAATTTATATTGCTGTATTCTCCCTTCACCTTGTTTAAATTATTTTRTATCTCACTCTTAAAAGAAGTAGCCATTTCCTTCAAAAATGTTGTTGAAACACATTAAGAAATTCATCACCTCTCTTCCATTGTAAAGAAATCATGCTAGTGCTTGAATATGCAAGTTTAGTTTTGGGAARTACCACAGCAAGTACACTTCAATAAATATAAAAAAAAATAAAAAGAAACTGAGAGAACTGTCCACTACTGAAGGACATGTTTTATGCTGCTGTTGGCATTCAGATCCTAGGATCAGAAACTGCACTTGGAGTTGTGCTCTCTGCTCCAAAAGTACCAAACAGCATTTCAGTGTTTTCCCAAACTTGCTTTTTGGAAGCAATTTGGAAGGCAATTTTGTTATTTGATAAGATGTCCATCACTAAATTCACCTAAACACACATACAGGCACCCCTCCCAAACACACACACACACACACACACACAGATTTTACAAAAGTCTCATTTTCTTTAAGCAAGTAATCACAACACCGAAAATATTCTCCTATGTGTTCACTGATTATTCTTAAATGATTTGTCACCACTCTGCCACTCAAAGGAGATGGTTATTTCACTCTTCTGAGAAGCTAACTATGTTCAAAAGCAGCTAGATGAGGATGGTGATGTGATATAAATTCCAATAGAAAAATGCATTGTCCATCCATATAGCCGTCCATCCTGAGAAACTTCCACTGCCAAATTCTTGCTATTTTCCATTGGTCATGGGGTTCCCATCAATAAATAGAAGGTCAGTGCAACAATGAGAAGCAAGCAGAATGGAGAGGAGAAGGTCTGATAGGCAGCCGAAGGCATGAAAATATCTTCGTATTTGTAAATACTGACAACACGCTCTGATACRGGTGGAGAGTCTATATCATGACGAGTTATTGAACCTTTAACAGGTAAGGGCAGAAAGAAATAATGTCAGATGTGATTTTTTTCTATAACTTTACCAAAGAAACAGGCAGGTAGACAGGTAATTTTCAAAACGACAGAAGCATGCAATATTACACTGTTAGGGAATGGGCTCATTTCTTTGCTTTCTGAAATTAAACTTCTGAATAAAACAAATGAAATTCAAGTAAACAACAACCATTATTCAAAGGAATGAAGAACTTCCAGTTATGAAGTTCCAAATTCAGCTTGGGGAAGTGGGGATAGTAGATATATAGCCAAGAAAACAAGATACGTCGGATTCCTGTCTTTCTTTTTATCCATTTTTAAGCTTCATGCTGCCAGAATCTTTATTAATTAAAAAAAAAAAAATAAAATAAAAGGGTGGGGGGCACGTCTAGTTAGAATCATGTAATAGAAAGAAATTTATCTGTTTTGGCACACCAGCTCTGCTGGCAACACAGAGATCAACTTACCCTGGATTGCTGGACCCCAAGCAAACAGGTAGTACCAACTTAAGTGCAAGTCTACGATGGTTTCTTCTCGTGGAACATACACAGGACGYTTGAATCGACACGTTACACGGTTGTTTTCAAAAACCCCTTCCTCATCTCTAGCAGGATTTCTCTGGATTTCTTTAGCCCACTGACCAACATTATAGAAGTGGTGTATTCGGACTCTTCCGTTATCATCATGAACACAAGCCATGACATCATCTCCTCCCTACAAGGTTAAAAAAAAATTGGAATATGGAAAAAAAAAGTGTCATAAAACACTTCCTCATTTCTGTATACAATTTTAATTATTCAAAACTAACCAAGACTTGGGACACTCCTTCCTTATTACTAAATTATATCTATAGACTAATATTTGTTCCCTGACCCAGATGTCTTCAATACAATTGAAAAGCACATAAGTGGGTAGCAATATTTACTTATCCTTACTATCTCTGCATTCTCTTTTGGATCTTTTTAAGAGTATTTTCACCTAACATATATAACATATTTRTAAGATACATCACTCTGACATCACATAACTAATTGATCTGTGGAAGGCTGTTTCCTTTTGTTATTTGTGAAGTTCCAGGATACCACTTCATAAAATGTGGCAGTCTTGAATCCCTGATGTGTACAAAATCCACTGGATCAAATCATTGACAGAGAACCAATACACTTTAGAAAGACAGAGAATCTACTACATAAGAGAAAATAATAGCATCAATTACAGCAAGTCTTTTCTAATCTCATGTTTGCTTAAAGGAACTTCATTTCTCATATCCCTTTTATTTCTTATAAAAAATGTTCAGCATGTAGAAACAGAATACAATATASTATAAGATACAAGGATAAAGAGCATACAGGATAAAAAGCCACCAAAGACCTAACAGACAAAAGGGAGAGTGTATGACACAACATTTGTAGAGATCATTGAAATACAGAGGCAGTTGCTGGAACAGTTACCCAGCAGTAAATTAGTTTGTTACTGACAAAGCAGTAGAGCATTAACTTCAGGAGCACTATCTCATAGAAGCCTCAGCACCAAGAGCCATTAAAATGCTATCCAAGCTAGATGAGTGCCACAGCTATCAGTATTGTATTAACACAGGCCCTATCCCTCCCATACTCATCTTTCTGATACRTCATACTGATGATAGACATGATGCTTGCTAGTGTGATCATCCCTCAGTTCTTAGTTACAGGGAAAAGAGAGAAAAACAGTGTATTTCAGCACTACGGGAATACTGCTATGTGCATTTGCAAAAAAAAAATGTGCCAAAAGTGAAGGGGAATAGAGAACAACTAGGTATAACACGGGGTTGAACAGTTTCTTCACCTTGGTGCTGCTGCAGGCAACCATTCCAGCCTTTGTCTTGAGCCTACCACTGCTCTCCATAACTTATTTTCAAAGTTTAACTTTTATACATCTAGGCACAAATTCCTCATTATTAAGTACAAAGAGGCAAAAATAAAGCTGTTTTTACAATGAAGGAAAAAACGAAAAAGGAAATAAAAAAGCATTTTGAATCTCAGTTAACAGAATGGCATTACAAAATCCTGCCAAGGCACAAAAGCCTGYAAATGGACAAGCATAATRTTATTCGAGACAAAGAAATAGGTCATAGGACTTTWAAAAAATCTATTTAGGACACAAAAYAGKTTYTTTTCCTGAACTTCTGAAGCTATCCAGGCCATACCMTTTTGATTAGGGCCTCCAAAGTACAGTACATTTCTCACAGCTAAGCTGTTTTGACCCAGAGCCATTTTACCATCAAAGACTGTGCATCCAGGACAACAAAACATCCTAAAAGTTGAGAAAAAGATGAAGTCCGCAGGGGAGCAGGAGAGGAAGCTGTGTTAGCTGGTTTAGCCCAGTTGACTTATGGCTATTAGATGATATGTGGAGCAAATTTGGAAGCAAAACCTTTTACTTTACACTTGCTTTATTCTTTTCACCATAACCTCAGACTTAACCTCCTGCTTGGTGTGCCTGGGACAAAAGGTAATGCCTGCTTTCCAAGKGGCTGATGAGATGAGGGCAGTGGGACCCTGGGGTCCACTGCAGGTACCTCAGAGTTACAAACTGGTAAGACAACCTGATAGCTTGGGGACAAGGAGCTGCTTTGAAAATCCTGTTGATTACTTGCATTGCCAGGCTTCTACACTCTTCCCAAAATTTGGCCATAAATCTGTTCTTTACATCAAAACCGCAAACTGTTTCTGTGACGCGAACTGTTCTTTATGACACAAAAACCTTCTATCTTTCTTGTGTTTATGTACAGTGTCATATTGAAACATGCACAAGTGATGACTGAGAAGCACCTGTCCTCACGTTTTCTTTCTATTTCTCATTTTGGGTCTGACAAAAATGCTGTAAAGTCAGCACAAGTCTTCACATTCATTTCTGTGGGTCCTAGCCGAGGATGTCTAATTCCTGTATTTTTTTCAGATGACTACTTTCAACATCACCAGAAACAGTCCTTTCTTTTACTTGTGATTTAGGACATAGGCCCAGTATTGTTTTATATATTCAGGAGTGTCTCTGTCCATGAATACATATATTATAAACTGCATATCAATCCTAGACCTTTTATCATGGATCACAAACAAAACATCATTGCGTAAGTYACCTATTGCCCAGGTTTTTTTAAGTCCACATGTTACATGCTTCTGTTTTGTTCACTGAAACTCAATGAAAAGCTGAGCTTTTGAAAGWAAAAGTAAGTATAGGAATGAGCATAAAGCAAAATCCAATAAAAATCCAGAAGAGAGAGAAGAAATTTTAACCAGACTGCTTTCTAGAGCATAAATGTTTAAATTAGCAGGAGTCATTTTCTCATACATTTGGGGCTTCCCTGGAACAACATGTAGGTAAGAAAGAAACAAAAATTTCCCAAGTTAAATAATGAAATAAAAATTTATATTGCTGAAAGTCACTTAATCTACTGAAGAATAAAATCATTTGCTATTCAGTTTATGATGTGTCTTTTGCCCAAAATACACTGACATAAAGCACAACAGGACATTTCCATGTGAATTGGCTTATCCCTGAGGGCTTTTCTAATAAAAAGGCAAAAAGCTAGTGACATTCAAACATTCAGAGCTGAACTGAAATGYTGCTGTAGTTCTCAGAGAAGAAGGGAAAGGAGATGTTAGGAAGGATGAACCAGTTTTCTGTGTGGCAGTGCTCCTAGGGGGGCTACTGAATGGTGCTTTGTCTTCAGCAAGTCAGTTTTACCTTATATGCCCTGTTTCCCGCTGATCAAATATATAAATATATATAAACCATTTATATCCCAGCATGTAAAAGTGTGTATATTGCCAACACAAAGAACTGTACATGTCTTACCATTTTCTTGTCTGAGGAGAATCCCACTGCCACCCAGCCATCTGTGTCRGCACTCAACTCAAATTCCACATCAGCTCCTATTCTGCGGTAACTTAGAAAGTAGTCACAAGTGTCCGCATTGCATCCAGGTTTACCATACCTAAATGGAATTGGAAATACACATAACTTATTCCATGAAATATCCTGCTATGGAACTTAATTAAGGTTTTGCAAGAAAAAAAACTAAAAGAACGTATTTTGGTATAATGGCAGTAAAACATACATTCTGACAGACATTAAGTAACATTAATAGTTTGCACTACTCTTTCAGTTTAAGAATGCATAGTATTCAAACAGCACAGCAAACACAACACTACACACAATATTACCCTGTTGGCCTCCTTGGTTTCTTAAGTGCTTCATGAAAATGCGAGAAACATGAGAGAACTGTAGGTCCATGACTAGGACGTGTATTCTTAAATAAACTAGGGTCCTCAAATAATATAGCTTGTAATACAAAGAATGTTCTTAAATAATAAACATTYATTAAAATGACTGTGAAACACAAACCAAAGTCTCCAATATCATCAACCACCATCTGTAAACATAAAGGTGCCTGCACTCTTATCTCAGACTGACCTGAAGCATCCCTTGGTTTTTCCACAGTCATCCACTCTGATTTTTGCAAACGGGTCCACAGGAGGAGCAGTAGGGAAAGGGTAACCTGTATAATCAGAATACATAATTACTAAATAAAATACAAGGAATAAAAATCAATAATAGTAAAGAGAAAGTGTTCCAGTAGCATTTACTTTGCTGATAACTGAACTGYTCAGATGAGTGACTACTTTGTCATGTACACAATCCACTGCTCAGATGGTCCTGGATCCAGATGCCCCAGTAACATGAATAACTGAAAACTAAACTTTTCTCAGGTTTCCTTCATTCACCAAGGAGGAAGAAGAATGCTGGAGGGCAAAAGTTAATGCAAGGCAGGACCATGGACTAGAGCAGTCAACTAACAATCAAGGATCTCCGCTCACATATCTCTTTGTGCACTCGCTGTCCCCTCAGGAAATCTGTCAGGGAACTGACTCCTCAGCCATAAATGACAGCATTAGGTATAATGCAGGCAGGGCACCAGATGCAGAGCTCTAGGAATGAACACTGAAAGCAATACGACCTCGTTTATGAAGTAAAATAAAACACATATTGCAGTAAAAGGTAAGAGACTATCAGAACAGGGAATTGCCTGCAGTTATGGCCTGCAACCACTTGTGAAGGCAGACCCAGAACAGGCAGAAAATGAAAGCTATGATACCAAGTGATTCCCTGTCTGCAGCACGATAGTACCAAATAGAACGTGAAAATGCTTACTAACAGACCTATTCTGTAATGGCTTGTAGGAGCTGGTGTCTGTTGCGTAAGCACACATATTTTAAGAGGATGTTTTTATTTAGCTGATAAAAAACAAAATGCTAGCCGTGAAACTAGAAAGTCCTCTGAAAATGCTTCATTGAGTGGGAAAAATGCTTCGTTGAGTAGGAAATGAACACTGCAGTTAGTTACAGCATCAGCACAAASTTTTGACCTACACAACTTTGGACATTCAGGAGCCCTGGGTCACTTCTCTGGATTTCTGAAAATGGCAATGGAGAATGTATGCTGTAAGCTGCAAATCACAGCTCCAGTAACCGCATCAAGGGCCGGGTAAATTACCCAGCATAAATAAGTTCACAAAATATCACAGCAGCGTGTAGCGGCGCATCTCTGAAACACGGGTCACGGGACATGCAATTTTCTCACTTCCTACTTATTTTCAAATCCACTGAACAAATGGTTTCCAATGCAGCCTAGCCGCAAAAGTGTTTTAACATTCCGCCATTTGTAAATTCAAAAATACCCACCCCAAAACCCACGACYACGCCGTTTCTCGACACTTTAGGGGCATCACGCGTCCTTTCGAAGCCCACACACCCCAGGACTCCTTTTCACGCTACCAGCCCGCAAAGCTTTGCAATGGGGGAAGYGCCGCCGGCCGGCCCCGCTCTGCGGAAGGCGAGGGCCCCCGGCCCCGGCTCCCGCCCGGGGGATGCCCAGAGGGTGCCGCTGCCCGCGGAGCGAAGCGGTGGCTTTGGGGACAGCGGCACCGGGCACCCGGGGTCCCCCTGCGGCCCGACCCGAGCGGCAGCGCCGGCTGAGGGCTGAGGCCGCCCGGCCGGCTGAAGATGGCGGCGGGCGCTGGCCTTCGTGCTGAACAAGGCGGCCGCCCCCGCGCCCTCCCGCCCGGCCGCCGCTCCCTCCCGGCCCCGCGCCGGCTTCGCCCCCTCGCCCGCCGCGCCCCCGCCGCCCGCCCCGGCCGCCCAAGTGCCGCACCCTCCTCGGAGAGGTAGCGCAGGTCGTAGAACTCGCTGGCGAAGGTGCCGTACGAGGAGTCGTGGTGCCGCGCCGCGTCCTCGCCGTGCTCCCCGCCGCCCGCCTCCCGCCGCCCGCCGCCCTCCTCCGCCGGGCTGGCGGCGGAGCCGGCCAGGAGCAGCAGCAGCAGCAGCCGCCGCCGAGCGCCGCGGCTCCGCTCCGCCATGGCGGCGGCGGCGGGGCGGGGAGGCGGCGGCGCCCGAGCGCGGCTCCGCTTGGGAGCGGGGGAGGCGGCCGGGGGGATCCAGCCCCGGGGACGGGCGGTGCCGGAGGGTCCGCGGGGGTGGGCGAAGGGACGGCGTGGGAGGGTGTCGGGGAGAAAAGGTGTCGGGGCGGCGTGTGCGCGGRGATGGAGTGGGAGCGGTGGGAGCGGCGTGCGCGGGAGTGGGATGCGCCGGGAGCAGGATGCGCCGGGAGAGGGATGCGCCTGGAGAGGGATGTGCCGGGAGCGCGATGCGCTGGGAGCGGGATGTGCCGGGAGAGGGATACGCTGGGAGCGGGATGCGCTGGGAGCGGGATGTGCCGGGAGAGGGATGCGCTGGGAGCGGGATGTACCGGGAGAGGGATGCGCTGGGAGCGGGATGTACCGGGAGCGCGATGCGCTGGGAGCGGGATGCGCGGGAGAGGGATGCGTGGGCGGTCACAGGCACAGCCCTGGCAGCACCGAGCCCTCCCGCAGAGACCGCCGCCGAAGGGCTGCGCGGTGGCCTTTCCTTGGATCACTGGCTTCCCGCATCCCACGRCTCGCCCCACCCAGCAGGAACCCCGCCGCGGTAACATCTCCCACCGCCCGGGCGCTGCTATCAAGGGGCAGTACCCAGCAGCCATCCCTGGCTGCCCCCGTGGCCTCGATTCACCAAAGCCTCTTGGCATGTGCTTCAAGAGGATGTGGTAAATCCTGCTCAGTAACTGCCGGACAAACTTAGCTGTTTTCTTTTTTTTATTATTATTTTTATTTTTTTTTATTTTTATATTTAGTATTTTTAATGACTTCTGAGATGGGACTGGAGGCACAGCGCAACTTAACATTCTTTTCAGGTAAAACCCCATGGTAGTGAGCGTTCGCTGTCTGATTGCATGTTCTGGCTTTTTATTTTATACAATGAAACTGCAGCAATACCAATATACTCCAAACCTGGAATCCCCAGGTTGCCCCCAAAGTTGTCTTGGGCTCTGGTATCTGATACTGGACTTGCAGCTAGGCATTACGGATACAACTGCGTTTTCGATGTGCCAAGGTATCTACGGGTTGATGGAGGAGCCATGGCCTTTTGTCCCTTGTGTTTGTCAAAGCAACTTTTTTCTTGGGTTTGGATTGCTGGTTGTAACTATAATTTAGTTTTCGTACGGTTGTGCATGGTTACACTTCCTCCTCTGAGAGTCTGGAATAAAATTCAGCAAAACATCGGGGAGAGGGAGGGAGAAAGAGGAAGATGCAGCGGTCAGTAATATTCTGAAAATTAAAATAATCC